ACTTTTTCTCATTCAGTTTGTATTCCAAAACATGCATAATTGAAATCATTCATAGAAACGATACACAAATTAATGTATAAAAGAGTAGTAAACATAATATTATGTAGTAAACATGATATTTCACTTTCCAAAATTCAGTGAATCGTCTTTAGTGATTTCACCAGATCCTTATATAGTCCACGTGAAGATTGAAAGTCTTTCTTGTAAGTTGAATATAAAACGATTAGACCATATCGTCTCCCTTACCCCTTTAATGTGCAAGTTAACCTCCTCCTCCTCCTAGATAAGAATAATCATAAATGACTGAAGAAAAGAGAAAATCTGAGTGATGAATGTATTTAAAACCTAGATGGTTTTGAAGTGTACAGTTAAGTATAAAAGTCATTCTTTTTTTGATAACTTCTATTACATTGTAAATTTTATTCTTTTTTAATTCAAATGAAACACATTTTTAATTTGAGTACAAGCTCATATTCACTAGCACTGAAAAAAATTATCATCTTTTTTCTTTTTGAAACTTTACTTGAAAATGTTTTTACACTATTAATTTCTTATTCCAATATCACGAACCTATGTAAATGTTAAAAATATCTTCTTTTGTTATTGATTTTTTTCTTTACCTTTTCAATTGTAGAATAAGTTTCCTATTCAATAAAGATTCATTCATTCATTTTTTAGTTATAACCGAGCGTGTTCCTTAGTCTGTTCATGTCATTCAAAGCGTCATTGCCAGAGACCACCCCCGAGAGTCGTTATCCGGCGGCTCCGGTAAGTATAACATTTTTTTAACCAGATTTCAAATTCAATTCTTTTTCAGACTCACTGGGAGGCACTTATTCGCGATATAAAGACACTCGTCTCCGGTTAGTTTTTGGAGGCCCCATGCAATAAATTACATTCAACGAGTCACGATTTAATAAAATACTAGATTAGAAAATAAAAGCACATAAAGGTTGGCTTTCGACCGCAGTAGGTCAGATGCCAATCTTGTTGAAGTGCCCATCAGTAGGTTGAGGTCCACTTATGGACGAGTTGGGATGTTCTTCCCCACACAGTAACCGTGTGGGGAAGATTTCATCTCAGGGCACTCAACCCGGGAGGGCGTATGGGGGGTTCCTATAACATCCCTTTAACCACCATACTATCCCTAACCATCTTGTTTTCCAAAATTTGGATTTTTTCCGCTAGACCCCTTTCACTTTATATCCATATCATTGGGGTGCATGAAAAACAAAGTCAATCATATTATTCATTTTATTGTTTCATTCAATTATTTTTACCCAATCTTCTTTTCAGCCAACCATTTCATTTGATAGCCGTATCAAGGGGGCACATAAAAAATATTCCGCATCACGGATTGAGAGTGACACCATGCTACTTTTGAGATTTTCTCCAGAAAATCATTTCATTGCATATTGTGAGGATACATCTTGGGAAGTTCTCTATATTGTATGTAGAATGGCATCACTTAGCTAAGCATGCATTGTCATACAAAGTAAACGTGTAGGTATGCAAAATATCATCTTAATATGTTCAGTTGAAAGGTTTGACCGAATTGCATTTCAATACCACATTTGTAGAACGATTTATCCTTTGATTCGAAACAGGCCTCAGTACCACCAATCACCTCTTAATTCGGGCGAAATTCATTTCCAGTGAGAATTTTTTTGAGGTCTGCGAACAGTCAATAGTCGCTGGGAGCCAAATCTGGCGAATACGGTGGATGAGGGAGTAATTAGAAGTTCAATTCATGTAGTTTTGCCATTATTTTGACTGACTTGTGACACGGTGCATTGTCCTGATGAAACAAAATTTTTTCTTTGCATATGCGGTCGTTTCTTTGCAATTTCGGCCTTTAAACCCTACAGTAACGCTATATAATATTCACTGTTGATGGTATTTCCCTTCTCAAGATAGTCGATGAATATTACACCACACACATCCCAAAATACTGAAGCCATAACCTTTCCAGACGATTGTTGTGCTTTAGGGCGCTTTGGACGAGGTTCAACAGTTCCTCTCCATACAGATGACGATTGTTTTGTTTACGGAGTGAAGTGATGGATCCATGTTTCATCCATTGTCAAATATCGACGCAAAAATTCCGGTTTGTAATGTTTAAACATGGCCAAACACTGCTCAGAATCATCAAGACGTTCTTGTTTTTGATCAACAGTGAGCACGCGCGGCACCCACTTTAAACAGAGCTTTCTCATAGTCGAATGCTCATGCAATATAAAGCCAACACGTTCTTTTGATATCTCTACAATGCCAGCTAACTCACGCAACTTCACTTCTCGATCATTCAAAACGATTTTGTGATGTTTTTTAATGTTTTCTGGAGTTACTGCCTCATTTGGACATCCACTGCGTTATGCATCATCGGTGTCTCTACGACCACGTTTGAAGTCAAGCAAACCAACGTTTAATTGTTGTTTCTGATGAAGCGGAGTCCTCATGATACTTTTCAAGACACTGCTTCGCTGCTTTTCAAGGCACTGCTTCGGCATTTTTCCTCATCAAGAAGCAGTGTAAAATTAAAACACGAAATTGTTTTTGATCTTTGGTTTTGAAAATAACAAAAGTAGTGTCACTCTTAGCACAATAACCTTCAAACTTATGAGTAGAATATCATGAAGTTTCAACAGCTTCAACAGCCAATGTGTAAATAAAAGCTTGTGAAATAAGCGACAGTCAAAATGTTCCAAATGTTACAAGAATAATTTTTTTATGGAAAGCCACAGTCAAAATTCCAAAAATACAAGAAAAATGTTGAATACACAAGAAGCTTTACGCCGTAGACAATTGAATCATTCTAATCTGCTTCCAACAGAGACATTTTTCATCCAGCATCTGGGATGTTCGCTTTTATCAATCAACCAGCTAGCTAACTTATATCGCCTGCAATGTTTTATTTTGGAATAATGATTTGTTAACTTTCACTTTTCGCGGAATCTGCTCCCAGTGCCATAAACCTCTCCGTAATTAATTTGCTGAATTTCCAGGAAGTTAAAACATCTGCTCGAACTAATTACTTGTGGGAAAAACTCCATCACATCTAAAGCAATCTGCAAATTGCTTGTTTTTTTGTGAAATGAATAATGACTATATCTCATGTGGAAATGCATTGTCCGTCGCGGTCGATACCCATTGTCTTCTTTCGTTTTGTTCATAAAGCCTGTTGAAAACAGTAACCCACGCAACTTATCCAAAAAGGGGGTGATTATCACCATAATTAATAGGAGGGTTCGGTAGACAAAATCATTACAAATAACATGTAAGACTTGTTTTAATTGTTAAAACATGTTTGGGCGATGACATCTCCCCTCACCCCTTACGAAGGCGCCATCTAGGAGATCGACAGAGAACTCAATCCTTAAATATCAAAATATAAACGAAGCTTCCGAAGGCAGACAGTTGAGTCCAATAATGCATATGCGGTACAACCCAGCACTACTGATGAGAGTTACAGCGGGTCGAAACGGCGCTGTCTGGTGTTAAATCACAAATGCGTTGTGTTTGGGTTCTGGTTTTCAGCTAGTTGCTTGGTTTCGCAACTGACCGCCTTGGGGAGCCTCTTCAATTACGAATGAGCTCTGATTTTCAACAAAAAAAATCTGATATAATGATAAAAACGGTTTTTAATGCTGTTATGTCTTCGAAAATTCGAAGAAAAAAGCTTCACCACCGACT